ACAGTGATGCAGCAAGAACTGATTTCTCTATAATGCCAGGTAAAAATTCTGGATCAAGTATTTGCAGTCATATCCTGTTCTGTCTGAGACTGTGTTGTGCCTTCTTCTTCCATTTCCAACAACATATCATTGTGAAACAGGGTTTTCCAGCTTGTTGGTTATCAAGTCTAAATACAGAAGTAGACTTGTTGTGGAAGATGATCTTCGTTGTGCTCCTGCAAAGACTGCCTCAAGAATTTTTGATCTGGTGAGAAAGAAGCAATCCCAAATTCATAGTGACATTGGCTTTTTAGTCATACCGTTGCAAAATGTAGCCATGTAGTTTACTGTTGTTATATCAAGACTATTACCCATGCTACATCATGCTTCAAGACAAAATTTCATTTATTTGTAATTAGAAATAAATATTTCATGATATATTATTTTTGTGATTAATCACTATTCTTTAATTATGTTCAATTTATAACAATGAAAAGACATCCTGCATATCAGATATTTACATTATGATTCATAACATAGTAAAATTATAGTTATGAAGTAGCAATGAAAATAATTTTATGGTCGGGGGTCACCATAATATGAGGAACTGTAGTAAAGGGTCGCAGAATTAGGAAGTTTGAGAACCACTACCCTAGATTCTTACAACTGAGTATCAGAAGAATGCAGATGGTCAGGAGGGGAGGTAAATAGCTGCTGCTACCTCACCTGTAAGCAAATTTTCTCTTATTCTCTCACCCACACAATCTTTGTGCTTTTATTTTCTAGTCCAGTAGCTATTTCTTACAGTTGCATTTGTCATCATTTAAGCTTGGAATTGGGATCTTCTATAAAGTGATGCAAATTCTAAGAGTAGATAGGCAACTTATTTCTATGTATGTTTGTCTTCCCCATAAAAAGAAAAAATCAAGCCAATTCTACTATTAAGATATTAATAGTGATGACTCATGAATTGAAATCATGACTCAAACTGTAACAGTGTGTAAGTAACCACCACTCTGGTGTGTGTACATAGGTGTGAATTAAAGACTAAAGATCTGTCCTTGCCTGTGTAATGTGAACACTAAGATAACTGAATGGACTGGAGGTAAATAAAGAGATGCTCAGAAGAAAGGGATAGGAAGAAAATCCCTTTGGAAAGGAGGAGGAATTCTTTGGAGTCATAGACATAAGAAGAAAAAGAATGTTTTCACAAGAATATGTTTCTTCTCTGCTGCTTCTGTTCTCTTTGCTTAGTTTCCCATAACTGAATGGTATTTCAACTCTTTCCAAGTCCTCATAAGTTGATATTTTTTTTCTCTTCTATTTGGCCACAAAAGTAACTCCACTGCCTCCCAAGGTCTGCTGCTCCTGATCCCACATCTTTCTTTGACTTTGCCATACTGAGAAAATTCAGGACCTCACTTTCTCTTTCCTAGTAGAGGGGCATCTGTGCCAATGTAAATGAGATCCTAGTGAACCTAGTGGTCTTTAAGATCTAAAATTGAAGGATGAGAAAATCTATGTAGGAATCTTTGGTTTACTTTTCTGTGAATCTCTGTGAGTCTTTTCTGTGACTCTCTTTTTGGGGTCATTTCAAATGCAATAAAAGCATTCAAGGCTGATTCCACAGCAAATTTTGAGCTCAGATTTGGCTGTAATATGGTTTCCCTTCTCACAGCCATATTTTCTAGAATTTATAAAAATGGGATGTCATTTGGGAGGCAAGAAAGAAGAAGTGTTGAAAATCTCACCTCCTAGCTTGGCACCTCTAGCTCAATGGCTAGGGTGCCAGCCACATACACTGGAGCTGGTGGGTTCAAACCCAGCCCAGGCCTACCAAACAACAATGACAACTACAACCAAAAAATAGCCGGGCATTGTGATGGGAGCCTGTAGTTCCAGATACTTGGGAGGCTGAGGCAAGAGAATCTCTTAAGCCCAAGAGTTTGAGGCTGTTGTGAGCTGTGACACCACAGCACTCTACCAAGGGCGACATAGTGAGACTCTGTCTTAAAAAAAAAAAAATCTTATCCCCTGCACACTTGGGTTTTCCAGTAAGGACCTGGGTGGTGAATCTGCTCACTCAGGTGTTTGCTCGGTCAGTCTTCAATTTCTCTATGTCTCTTGTCTCTGTCTCTCACAACTTCACATGATAAACAAGGAATAATGTATAAAATAAAAAAATGTCTAAAATGTTCTTCCTATTGATTTTTCTTGGACCATTTTAAAGGGTTACTGATCTCCCAATGTGAACTGCAGCCCTGAGATCTGTAGCAATCCTTAAGGGAAGGAAAACAAACAGAAATATTATTGAATTCCCTATTGTGTGTGCAGTGCTTCAAGTACAAAAACTTTATTTTTTGCCAATTCTGGAAACAATAAAATAGAACAATATACCATTGTTCTTTTACTATTAAACCATGATATTAAAACAGTATGACTTTGTAATTCCCTTTAGCGGTGAGGGTAGCGGTTTATAAATGTGACTGTGAAGTATTCCCAGGGAAGCACTGTTCTAGAACCCAGCCCCTTTGGAAAGCGAAGGGGCAGAACACTAGGACAGTAAGGAAGACACTGGGCTCTTAGGGACGGTCAGAAAATAAGGCCACCCTGATTTCACTGAACTATGAGATAGTTTTTTGTTGTTTTTTTTTTTTTTTTTTTTTTTAACTCTGGCCCTTACTGCTAGTGGTGCTGATCGAGCCTTGTAGAAGTGCCTTGCTCTGCTCTGTTGTTACACTGAAAGGTACAAGATGGCCTCTCTTCTGGCAAAGTATCAAACTTAAATTTAATACAGAGACAAAGATAATTTTAATGTGGGCCTAGAAGTCGAGTCTGTGCTTGTAAGTGTTGTTTAGTAAAACAGTTGCATTGCAGAAAGGAAGGTCAAGGCACAAATCATTTAAGTAATCTTCCTGAAGCTACTGGCTGCATGGTAGCATTGGGATTCTAGGCTCCCTGTGTTGTGCCGTACTGTGATTTGCATTTGAGCTGCAGGGTGTAGGCTTGGTCTTACCTAATATTCTGGAGAATATCAGAAAAGCCCCTGGTCCCTCTGAGCCTTAGCTTCCACATCTGAAAGGTGAAGATGATGTGGTTACTCTGCGTAATTCGAGAGCTGTTTGTGAGAATCAAAGGAAATTATGTATTGAAAGGACTTTGTAAACTACAAAGAATAATGAAGGACACAAACATAGTATAAGAAATACAGAGCACATGGCATATTCTGTATTCTGCATTTGGAGTGTTCTACCCTTGGGTGCTGTTTAACGGGTTCCTCTGATCCCTGTAATTGCAGTGGTGAGAACTAGAGGCTTCCCCAGATTTGCATTCCAGTTTGGGCACAGTATCTCAGTGTTGGTATAGCAAGTCTACTACACCACCTACGCAAGAAGCCCTGGAGACAACCAACCAAATGTGATTTGTCACCTTGTAGGGTTTTGATTCTAAGAAAACAAGTCTTAAAAAGTCACTTGTGAAATAATCAGGATCATTTGAATACTGATTGCCTATTAAGTTATATTGAGGATCTAGTGCTGATTTTTTTTTCCCCAGGGATGATAATGGTATTGGGGTGACATTTTAAAAAATAATTCCTTTCTCTGAAGTATACATTCCAAAGTATTCTCAGGTGGGCATCTCTGAAATAATTTATTATTCTTTGAAATAATCTAGGAAGAAGGTGCTTATCAAGGGATGAAACACGGTTAACTGCATGTTGAATCCAGGTAATAGCTCCATGAAGGTTCATTATGCAGTTTTTGGTGCAAAGGGCACAATCCAGCCTTACTTTCCACACAAAAAGGTGAGGATGCTTCTGCCTACCATGCCATCAGCTCATCCATTGTACTGTGTATGGTGATTAGGAGGCACAGGATAGCAGGATGTCTTTCTCACTTATTTTAGGGGCTACTGACATTCATTGGCTGGATTACTTTGCCTACATGTCTATAAAATGGTGATTCTCCTCATTTATTACCTGGACTACTTTGATAGAGAGAAGTTTTTCCACATAAACCATTTGGTGACCCTGAAATATCATTTGACAGGAAAGGCAGATCAAATGTTTTATTACTTCTCTTTTTCTTTGGCAGTTTCTTGGGGCAGGAGTGTGGATACAGCCTAGCCTGGGGCAGGGCTCCTCTCTTCCTCCCCCTGCTGGATGGAACCCAGCTCAGCCACATAAGTTATGATGGGATCCCTAACCTTGTCATTGAATGTCATCTCTCGTTTTTCCCCTATGAAGTCTATGTTTTGAAATGTATTCCAAACAAGATGTACTTAACATTGATTTATTTTGCCTTTTAATTAACAAAACACACACACACACATATAACTGCTAAGCAGAACTTGTGATCAAGAAAGAAAATTGAGATTACTAAGATAAATTGATAAAATTCAAGCCAAAACAAATGATGTTTTATTAAGGTTCATTGCTTATTAGATATGCCTACTTTTGCGGGGATTCAGTTTTATTTATTCATTTATTTTTGAAACAGAGTCTCATTATGTTGCCCTCTGTAGAGTGCTATGGTGTCACAGCTCATAGCAATCTCAAACTCTTGGGCTTAAGCTATTCTCTTGCCTCAGCCTCCCAAGTATCTGGGACTACAGGCACTTACTACAATGGCTGGCTATTTTTTGGTTGTAGTTGTCATTGTTGTTTGGTGGGCACAGGCCAGGTTCAAACCTGCCAGCTCCAGTGTGTGTGTCTGGCACCCTAGCCACTGAGCTACAGGCACAAAGTGGGGGGTGAGGATGAGGGGGTTTTGGTTTTTAAAGACTCAAAAATCATGCCTAACCTGTGTTACTTTATCTTCAACCCAGAAGATCCACTGGGGCAAAGAGGGCCTGTTCTCTTCTGTGACTACTGCATTGCTTTGCTTTGAGCGGAAGCTCAGCAGAACTTGTTTGATGGTTGCATCCTTGATGGCACGGGGACACCCTAGCAGTGAGGCCTCAGAAAGGGAAGACACAGAGATCTTGCTTCCAGCAACTCTAGGGGCCATCACAACTGCATTTCAGGATCCTGTGAAATTCATCATGCCATCAATCCACTTCATCAAGCAGCATGTATTGGTGTTGAGACATAATCCAATTTTGTATTCCTTGATTTTACATTTCTTCCGGCAGCGAGCAGTCCCATGACCACATATTCTGTCCACTTCAAATTCACTTCTCACTATATAACAAGATAAGTCACTGTGATTATTGTGTCCTAGCACTGATAGGCCAGACTGGCAGCAAGTTTCTTCAGGTGAGGGGTGGCCAATCTCTTCCCAGGACCTCAACTCTCCGGCACTTTCCTACTCGACTGACTTGGCCCTCTAGTTCCCAGCCAGCAAGTTTTCCTTCTTAAAATCTCCTCAACAGTTTACCATTACTTTTTTACAAAGCCCACTACCAGGTCTCAAAACTTATCTTGATCTGATCCTGGGCCACCTCTTCAAACTGATGCTGTTCCACTGTGGCCCTGGCTCCTCTGTGGCCCTGCACTGACTCTTTGCTATCCCAGGTTATTTCTGTGCCTTCACTATCACTGTCCCCTTTGCCTCAAAGGTTTTTCTTCCCTCCTATGAATATACTCTTTGAATTTTGGTCTCTCAACCTTAGGGTCATAAAGCTGGGGAAACCTCTCCCTGTTCCCTTCATGTAGTTAAATGCCCCAAAACTATTTTCCTTGCCACACACATCTTATTCTCTCATGTTAATATTTTACATCCCAAGTTGTAGTTATATATATATTTTTTATTATTTGCTCTTCTAATTTAAATGTGAGGTCTCTGAATGTGAGGACCATGTTTGTGCTGCTCACTGGTATAGACTTGATATGAGGCACATAACATGAGCTCAGTAAGAGTCTGCTGAGTAAATGATGCATCGACTGGACTAGAAAAAACTATAATAGACTAGAATAGACTTGAGTAGAGCAGAGGAAACTAGAATAAACCAGAATCCTGATTGTTTGGCCCTTAGCCCCAAACAATGTGCAGGAGATGTGGATTTCATTACTGTCTTAGGGTGTGCACTCCAAGGCTGAAAGCAGCCTTTCAATCTCCTTACCTGGCATGCCAAACAGGTATCATTTTAAAGCAATGCTAGGATTGCTGAGAGGCGAGACTGAAGGTGGACAGGAAGTAGGTGACAAATTGGAAGGACTTTGTTTGAGGTCCTCTGACAGATTCAGCAGGAATCAGGCTTGGAGGAGCGTGTTGAGAGAACAGGAGAGCAGGAAGTCTGCTGTGCAGTGAGCCCTGGCAGGAGTCAGAACTCAAGAGCTCATCCTTATTCCACCTCCCATCATTCTCTACAAAGTAGAGGTGCAGGGGAACTCAACAGGGCTGAATGTCATTGGACCAGGGTTTTATGTCTTTCTTTTGTCCTAGTAAAGAAAATCTTCCTCTTTCCAATGTGTAAGTGTCAAGGTTGTTGGGTTAGGATGCAGGTGAGAACTAAGAAATGGTTTGACTGGATCATAGGCTTAACAGGATATTATGAGTCCCATGGCTGGGATTACCCCATGGTGGGTGGAAGAAAAGCCTGATTTGCTGTAACCTCTGTCATTGTGGTTAGAGTAGAAGGTAAGGAAGAAAGGGATGAGATGAGCTGTAGTATTTATTATGCTGAGTAATTACGTAGAGGGTGGGTAGCGGATCTATAACTTCCAACATATTTGGAGTCAAGCAAGTTACAGCCTGGAGTTAGAGGAAGAGCAGGAGGCTACCATATGTGCTTAGGAAACATGAAGCTTAGAATTCAGGGAGGAGCAGAATAGACTAGAAAAGAGAATATAGTTTTTAAAGTTCTAGAGTGTCAGTTCCAAGCAAGCCCCCATAAGCCATCTATTTAGAGATGGAAATTAAGGCCCAGAGAAGGAAAATGGCTAACCTGAGGTCACACAGCAACCTTAGGTGTCAAAGCTGGAGTGAAAGCCCAACTGATACATCTTGGAGTCTGAGTAAACAGAATGTCAAAGGGAGAATATAATCTATGAACCAACTAATAAATATATTCTAAGCAATAGATACCTTCTGGGGTCAACCAAATTAGGCTGACTCTCTTTCTCAAATAAGTAATTGCCCTCCTCTGCACCTTCCCCAGTGCTAGTGGGTATTTGAGGGGCTGAGGGTTTGTGAGAGAAAGCTACCCACAGCAGGAGAAGCAGGAGCAGCAGGAGACAGGGTTGGCTAGTGCTGCTGTTTCCCTCCCAGAGCATCTTCCTATTAAGGCCCCTTCTCAGGGATAAGCAGACCACAGCCCCAGTGGGCAGAGGCGCCCAGCTCTACATATGTTCCTCCCACTCCCGGGCTCTGCAGGAGCCTGACTCAGGCTTTCTATCTTAACAGGTTCTTTGTCTTGTGATCACAGGCTGAGGGAAACCTGTTTTCTGATAAATAAATTACTATCATATTTTGACAAATTTGGAATATGCTGATAGCAGAGTTTTTTGGAAGTGTCCATCAGAAATGATCCAGGCAGACAGAACAGGAATAAGTAATCTCAATATGTGCTCTCTGAGAGAAATGATGAACCATCTGAATCATGGCAGAGAGCCCATCAGGAAGAGAGAATGGATGCATGCTGCATTCCTCAGAGCCTCAGAAAACCCAGGGGGAAGCTTGAGAGAGATAGATTCTAGGAATCAAATCAATGGGTTTGGTCTCAGCACTGCTAGACTGATGAGCAACTTTGAGAAAATTACTTCCATGCTCTATATTATGGAGCATGAGCTAAGCATTTAAAAGGAGGAAATTAGGTTAGATGATCTCTCATATCCTTTCCAAATCTAATATTGTAAAACTGTATGCTTCTTTGCACACAGATTAACACAGGATCAGAAGATTGCTGACATTAGTCTAACCTTGAAATTTCCTTAGCAGATTCCAAAGGCATCTGCTATTTGTGTTATCAATAAATTATGCTTTCGCCTGCTAAGTTCACTGCATTCCTTTTCATTTTAATCTTTTAACCTGAGATGAAAAATTGTAAAATTTAGAAGGATGGGTAGGCCCCCTTTCCCATCCAGTGCCAAGTTGTTCAGAAGGAGGCAGATGGCAGAAGGCATCTTACTCCACAAACCAGCAAGAAGTAACTGCAGCTAACCCTGCAGTTGGGATAAGCCTGGATGGTATGTCCCATCGTCAAGGAGTCCAGGAGAAGCAGCTATCACGGGCAGCCAGGCCTTAGTGATATATAAGAACCCTGACTCCTACCTTTGTCTTTCTTCCTAGAACTGCCAGCCTTGAAGCTGGGAGGTGTACATGAATGGTGTCACTTACTGCATTTTACTAATGGACCCAATATGGCAAAGTGACAAAGGTTGGGATTGAAGAAGGCTGCTGAATCCTTCAGGACTTTTTTCTGAATCAAGTTTTTCTTCCCACCTCTCATCCTTTGCCACTGTGTTATGTCTAGCTGAGAGCCTCTTTTTACCTGGAGGATCCTGGTAGAGCAGAAGAGAAATGGCTAAAAGCAGCACTGTGATCCTCATAGTACATGGGTTGCTAGTACGTGGAAGCAGAGGCAGCTTGGAGGAACTGTCCTGGGACAGAACAGGGTCAGCTGTTTTTATGGGCAGAGTGCTGCTCCAGGTACTGAAGCCCATCAAGAACCAATGTCCCCAGGAGCATGCACCAGGACGCAGTGTGAGGGGGAGTTGTGGGGACATCAGAAACATCAGTTCAGCAGAGCAAAGGACAGGGAAAGGGGAGTGCCCTGTGGGAAGGCCCAGGCACCTCATTTGCCTCTCCATCTGGAACAAGAATTACGCTAGGATTAGATGTTCTCTAAGATACCCTTCCACCCTAACATTATGTGATTCTGGTGAGAGGACTTTCTGTTCTGTTTTCAGTTAAACTGGCATTAAATTGCTTTAGATCAGTCAGAAGCTTCTTGTTGATAATGGTGTAGGTAAATGTGGTTCAAGTTCATCCCTCCCAAGACCCCTCTAGAATAAGCATACAGAATAAAACATATTATCTAAGAGAAGCATAGTGTGGAATGTTGAGGACATCATGAATACATGGGGGGGGGTGTCTCTGCACATCTCTGGGATAGAAAGGGTATGAGGTGAGAATGACAACAGGTGACCTCAGAGAACACTTTATGGTGGCATTGTTAGTCACCAGGAAGGGTGATGTCTGGACATACAACATCAGACTGGCTTGGAGCTCAGGATGAAAAAGAGGACAAGAGTGAGAGGAGAGGTTAAACAGGTATTGATTAAGACATTAAAAGATATTAAAATGTTGTATTTCTAACAATGGCACCAAATAGTAACCTACTCTTTACCCTTCCAGAGTACATACCCTTGGATTTAATCCCCATTTCTACCTCAAGCAAAACATAGAGTATAGGCTTCTGGGATTCACCCTTAGGAAGAATATCAGATAGGCCGGGAGTGGTGGCTCACACCTATAATCCTAGCACTCTGAGAGTCCAGGGAGGGTGGATTGAGGGAGCTCAGGAGTTTGAGACCAGCCTGAGCAAGAATAAGACCTCTGTATCCACTAAAAATAGAAAAACTAACCAAGTATTGTAGTAGGCACCTGTAGTCCCTGCTACTCAAGAGGCTGAAGCAAGAGGATTTCTTGACCCCAAGAGTTTGAGGTTGCTGTGAGCTATGATGCCACAGCACTCTATCCAGGGTTATGGAGTGAAACTCTGCCTCAAAAAAAAATTACTTTCACCTTTAGAGAAGGTGAAAGTGTCCAATTTTGGAAGTTGACATTCTTTAATAAGCTCTCCTCATTCTGGAACACAGGTTAGACAAAGTCCAAAAACAACGCTTTGCTTACACATCCTAAGCAAAATCAAACAGCAAATGTGTCCTACCCAGAGTTCCCAATTAGGGGAGGATGTGACAGAGACCTGGCTCTTCTCACATAATAGGATAGAGAGTCAAAGATCACCAAATGCTCCAGTTTAGGTCCTCCAAGAGGCAGATATCCACATAAATTAGAAAGGAAGTATGTGCATTGGGGAGTGTCAGTGGTGAAGTGTCACAGGTTGACACATGTAAAAAGGTTGGGGGCAGGGAGAGAGCCTGAGACTATAGTACAGGAAACATAAGCATTGCCAATGGGGAAATTCAGACTACAGGCTGTCCCAGCTCAGCAGAAATGGCTCAGTTCTCAGTCTACATTGTCTGTGTTTGCTTAAGCAGTCAGCTCAACCATAAGCAGTCAGCACAGGAGTGGTGCCCCTGGGAGTCCTGCAGTAGGTTGCAAACATGCAGCAGGTGAAGGCTGTCCCTATTCTCACAGCTGACAAACTGGAGCATCACAATGTTTGATCCATGGGGCTCTTCCACCCTGTCACATGTTAGACTGTAGTAATCTTTGATGATAAAGGTCAGGAAGATAAAGAATGTATATTCAAGGTTGTCTGTGTGGAAAATTCTAATTAAAATAATGAGCTACTCTTCAAAGGAAAAAAAAGGAATTATAAATAGGGACTGAATAACTAAACTTCAAAAGAAATCTAGAATCTTCTTGGGGGAAAAAAGAAAACAGAATTACTTCACTGGGTCCTTAAGAAGTACCTGAGATTTCTGGTTTCAGCTGCTACAGATAAAAGGCTGGATGTCAGGCAGTGCCTGTGGCTTGAAGGAATAGGGCACTGGCCCCATATGCCAGAGGTGGTGGGTTCAAACCCAACCCTGGCCAAAAACTGGAAAAAAAAAAAAGGCTAGATGTCTCTACTCTCATTCCTAAAGTAAGAAAAAAGTTGAACAAACTGAAAAATCAATGACTTTTCTTGGACCCATCAAAGAACTGAAGTCTTAGGACAAACCCATCATTCTGAAACATGGAGAGTCACAGCTAAGATGTGCTAATCTATAAACTAATAGGAACTCTTATGGTGACTTTGACAAACTGTTGGAGGCTAAATGTGGGCTAGCATGAGAGTGAATAAAAACTTGAATTCATGGCCAAAGGGGCCCATACACTTTCCCGGGTTTTAATGCCAAGAAACACACCACATTCTTATGGTGAAGTGCCAAATGGAACTCCTAGTGATTCTAGCAGAGAGCAAAGAGTAATTATTGTGAAACATGTTCAGAGGATTCTTTATAACAAAAGCCTACTCCTGCAGGGGGTGGGGGGACAATTTTACCAGATTGGGGAAAGGGCAATTCTTTAATCTAGCTCCATCTAGACTCATTGTCTCAATGCGGAATGGGGGTAGCTAAGAAATGTTCTGTATGTCCCAGTATGACATAGGCTAAAATAAAGACTGAGAATTTCTTATAAGATTAGGGAATGTTTCACCTCCTTCACACTTTGCCCTGGAAGTCTGCCCTGGGTCCTTCAGAATCTTGGATTTCTTTGTCTTGCAGAAAATCCACTGTAGCTGGGAAACAATTTAAAAGATCAAGTAATTAAAGGAAAGGATTATAACAAACAGGAGAGGAGGAATCATTGAAATTTGTTTTTGGAGCCAGTTACACAGCAAGGATAAAAGTTATAGTAAAGTCAGGCTGGGTGCAGTGGCTCATGCCTATAATCCTAATACTCTGGGAGGCTGAGATGGGCTGATTGCTTGAGCTCAGGAGTTCAGAGATGAGCCTGAGCAAGAGTGAGACCCCCATCTCCAAAAATAGCCAGGCATTGTAGCGGGCACTGGTAGTCCCAGCTACTGGAATGGAGGGTGGTGGCTGAGATAAGAGGATCAGGAGTTTGAGGTTACTGTGAGCTATGATACCACTGCACTCTACCCAGGGTGACAAAGTGAGATTCTGTCTCAAAGGAAAAAAAAGAATTATAGTAAAATCAGAAATAATCATGCAAACAATAGGAAAATAGGATGAAATATTTAAGGTGATGAAAGAAGTAACCACTAATTTAGTACATATCAAAGGGATATTTATTCTAATAGAATTGAATATATTCACCTTGAGGAATTAAGATGAAGGTAAGGCGTTCTTTCTATTCCAGTGGGGAATTAAACTGAGTCTTAAGCTTTGGGATAATGATAGTTTAATTCTCACTTAAAGTAGTCAAAGTGTGCTGGAGCTTTTTTTTTTTTTTTGAGACAGGAGCCTCAAGCCGTCCCCATGGGTAGAGTGCCATGGCATCTTAGCTCACAGCAACCTCTCACTCCTGGGCTCAAGTGAGTCTCCTGCCTCAGCCTCCCAAGTAGCTGGGACCACAGGTGCCTGCCACAACGCCTGGCTATTTTTCTGTTGTTGTTGCAGCCATCATTGTTGTTTGGCAGGCCCGGGCTGGATTTGAACCCGCCACCTTGGGTGTACATGGCTGGCGCCTTAGCCACTTGAGCCACAGGCGCCGAGCCAGTGTGCTGGAGCTTTAAACAGCAGGTTCTTGGGTGGTCAGACAATGAATTAAAAGGCACACCACTGGTGAACACAGAACGACAAAAACAGTTTAAGAAGGTGTCTATTTATTGTGAAAAAAGAGCTCAAAGAAAAAAAACATGCTTGCCACGCTCACGGAAATCTGTCCACATTCCTTCCAGGGAGGCACTCTAAGCCACACCGGGATGTACCCTGGCCAGAGGCTTTCAGTTGACACACTACTTCTAAGCAGACAGCACAACCGGGAAGAAATAAAGAGTACAGGCCACATTAGAGTATTCAGAGTTTATTGAAGGATATAAAAAGCTCTACAAAAGTTAAGACAAGCCTTAACAGTAGAAAGGTAGCCAAAATGGCTCACCAATCTTTACTCAAATTTCTACTTCTTATATATCCAAAGCTACCTACCCTTTTTCCAATGTGGTATTCTTTCTTAATTTGCATAGTTTACATAATAGCAAAGGTCATATTAACCTTTAGTATAACTCAGTGACTTATTACAATATTCCACTTCAAAAGTTAATTTCCTAAATCAAGCCACCTAAACTACTCAAGATAGATATCTTTAGGGTAAGAGCTAAATTTAAAAAACAGTAAGAATGGGAGACAGTGAAGGTTAGGCAGGACCTACACCAACCAGACCAGCTGTGTCATGCCTGCCTTAGCCTACCTGACTCCATCTGATTTTCATTACCTGTGCTTTCACTCCAATGCAAGATCAATATCTGTTGTGGAATTAGTCTCAGACACAGGCATCATTCACCGTGCAAGAAAAATTACTTCTCCCATCTCACAACCTCCTCTCACTCTACCCAGGCCCCCCTGCCTGTTATTCTATCTGTCTTCAAATAAGTTCATTCCTACATTAACCTTCTCTGGCCCTGTGCTTTGTTAGCATTGCTCTCTTCTTTAGGCAGAGATTGCTTTTTGCTTTTCAGAGACTCCCTTCACTAGGTAATTGTCTTAGTTCATTCATGCTGTCATAACAAGGTACCTTAGACTGGGTAATTTATAAATAATTTCAATACTTATAGTTTTGTGGGTGGAAGGCTCTTTATTCCTTCTTTCCACCTTCCCTCCCTCCCTTCCCTTCTTTCTTGCTTATCTTTCTTCTTTTGTCTTAATAGTTTGGTTAGGACCAACTGCCTGAATGAAGCTAGAGTTTTATTGATTTACATCTCCCTTTAAGAGAAATATTAAATGTGTTGGGAAAATTTCCTCACCACAAAATTATAAAAAATCAGCAAGGTTGGAGGGCCCATAAAGATTAGGTAGCCATGTTTTCCCTTCCAAATGAAGCATTTGAAAAACTGATCAAAGAGAGTCATTTATTTTTATTAAAGTGTCTGATTACAACAGAGACCAGACCAGAGTAAAAAAAAGAAGGTAGGTCATTCAAGCTTCTCAGGGAAGCCTGTCTTCGAAATTAGTCATTATCCTTATTCTTCTCACATGGCTGGAGAGTCACACAGCATCTCAGGGTCTTCTGGCAGAGAGCAACAAGTTCTTCATTTTTCGCACAAGAATTCACACATCTCCCTTTAAGCTTGAGGCATTTCTTATCAAAAAATGAATTCTTGGCTACATAAGGGAAGGAGCCAACTGGATTAGTTCTTTTCAGACATGTCTAGATAAGAGTCATATAATTAATTAGTGAAGATTTTTTTACAAGCTGTTATAGTGCCGTGTCCTGCCATTTAGATAAGATGAAAGGGCAAATATCTCCTATTTGGTATTTTTGTCTTTTTTCTCATAGGGTGAAATATCAGGAAGAATAAATTTGCCTTCCAACATTTGAGATTATGTTGTATGGAGGCTTTGGGAAACAGAAGTTATTGTTCTTTTATTGAAATCTGTTGAGGTAATTATCAACTTGTTCCTATAAACACCTATAGAGCCCATGACTTCTCCAACATACTCTCAAAGATTGCTACTTGCTCAGAGTCGAACAAAAACTGGGATTCGGGAGATGGCTTGTGATGGGATAAATATATAAAAATTAAAAAAATGACTATTGTAGGTCAAAAATAAAGAAGCTATTTGGAAAAATTTGATCTGATTTCTCCTCTATATTCTATCAAAACACCAGCCATAGGAAGCAGATGCTTTACAGCAGTCTGGAGTAGTATGTTCGGAATGGTTCCCAAGACTTTTCTAATGTCATTTTGCACAGAATTCCAGTCCCAGCTTTACTACAGGCAGCCCTGGGGTTATGAACTAGATAGATTCTGTAGGTTTGTTTTTAAGTTGAATCTGAATGTAAGTCGGAATAGGTAAATTTACCTATTACTTGTAATAGCCTCCCATTCATAAGTGCAAGTCATATGTAAATCAGATGTTTGTAACTGGGAGACTGCCTATAATTCATCAGTTGTAATCATAAAAGCAACCTGCTTCAAGTTAAGGACAGACAACATATCTTATCAGAATCAGCACTGTAGAGTTGCCTACTTTGGCCATATGTAATGAAGGTGACAGATGTACAGACATTGCATTAAATGTCCAACTACAAGGTTCTCTAATTCATGCCTATTGAAACTTAGCAACCAGATGGATTAGTGCCAGCATATGTGCCACTCATTATGGAGGGTCAGACTTTCAGCCCATTAGTATAAGCACCCCACTATTTCAAAGCTCAGTGAACCCAGGCTCCCACTGCAAGGTCTATGTTCTTTCTGCCCTTCTAGGAATAGATAATTTGGAAATACATGACCTTGCTCTGACAAGAGTCCTTGTACTGTATTGGTGCCCATAGGCATACAGTGCACAATCACAGATAGCATGTAGATACTGTGTGTGAGTGTGCATATGGTGCATTAATGCATTGGCTTCATTTAAATATATTAGATAGGCTCAGCTCCCATAGCATAATGGTTATGGTGCTGGCCACATGCACTGAGGCTGGCGGGTTTGAACCTGGCCCAGCTAAACAACAATGACAACTGCAACAAAAAAATGGCTGGGTGTTGTAGCGGGCACATGTAGTCCCAGCTACTTGGGAGGCTGAGGCAAGAGAATCTTTAAGCAGAGTTTGAGGTTGCTGTGAGCTGTGATGCCTCAGCACTATACCCAAGGCAACATAGTGAAACTCTCTCTCTCTCTCTCTATATATATATATATCAGATAATTTTATAGTAAATAAATTTTTAGTGTGTTGACTCGTAATGAAGTGATCTAAAAAGAGCACCTCTGGTCAGTTTCCAGTGTGTGTGTCAAAGCCAGATGAATGGACACAGCACCACTTTAGGTCTTAGAGCCTCCTATTCTTTCATGAGCAATGTTCAGAATTGTGACCTGAGAAGCCCTTTCTTCAGCTCTCTGGAACCTGGGATGAATATAGTCTTAGACTGTGACTGGAACCATTGGGGTTTCCCAGGACCATGAGAAAATGAAGAGAACTTTGGTGTGTGTGGGGGGGCATCTTAAAGGGCTCTTGCTGTGGCAGAGTAGAGTTGAACTCCATTCCTGGCTTCTCTCTTGCTTATCTGTCTAAGAATCTGTTTACTCCATCTGAGGTGAAATTTTTGCATCTGTAAAATATATGTAAAATGGAGGGTCCAAACCAAAAATGTTGCTCTGCATACCCATTAAATTAAAAGTGGGAAAGAGTTTCCTTTGAAGGCATCAGCTTTGGAGAATTAAAGGAATTTTATGTCAAGTTGTTATTGCATGCAGTTTTATGGTATGTCATTGGGAATGTCTGTCTCAGTTGAGCTATTTTACATATTGGCACCTGGCATGAATGCATATCATATATCTCTAAGCTCCATTCCTTTTCTCTCCTATTCTTTTCCTTCTTTGTCTTTCTTTTTTTTTTTTTCTTTTTTTTTTTATTATTAAATGATAGCTCTATACATTAATGCAAACAGGGAGTACAGTGCTTCTTTGTCTTTCTTCCTTACCTGTTCTGATCTCTAGCATAATTGTATTTTAAAAGGTCCTCAGACTGCTACCCTTGCTTTTAATATTTTTTCATATATATATATATGTTGGTACCAAAAGCCATCTTACCTGGCTTTTCCTTATTTCTACAAATCCATGACAATAATGGAAAATGCAAAGGATTTTGAAAGAGGCATTAGGAAGAAGTCTCCTTTAGTAGCAGATGGTCCCCTGCAGGGCAACCAGACCAAGGCTGTATGTGCACTATGGCTGGTGGACCCTTTCTCTGGGACACCACCTCTGATCATATTCCCTATAAAGATACTCATGTTACCTGGGACCAGAAAGAGGAGAACAGCAAAGAGAAAGATGAATCTCTTCATGACTTGGAGGGTCTTGAGAGAGCAGCACAGTGTCCATGAGAAAAGGACATCCACATTTATACATTTTTTCAGAACAAATAACACCTTGATCAGTGAGGCTTGTCAGGAAGGAAAGATTCCCATGCTTGGCTGAGCAGAGCCCACAAACTTCAGCAGATTATCATCTTTCTGATTTTGGAAAGTTCTTAAGAAGGAAAATGGGGATGTCAGAGTACGAAAGATACAGAAAAAACACAAGATCTGGAGTCCAGGAGTTTGGATTTTTAAGCCTTTATGGCTTCAGTTCATCCATATGTAAAATGAGAGTAATTATGTTATATTTCAGTGATCAGTTAAGGGCTAGCACTGTAGTCAAATTGAGTCTGAATTCCAGATTCAACTTTTTAGATTTTTTTTTTTTTTAGAGACAGACTCTCACTTTATTGCCCTTGGTAGAGTGCTGTGACATCACAGCTCACAGCAACCTCCAACTCCTGGGCTTAGGCTATCTCTTGCCTCAGTCTCCCAAGTAGCTGGGACTACAGGCACCTGCCACAATGCTCAGCTATTTTTATATGTTGCATTTTGGCTGGGGCCAGGTTTGAACCCACCACCCTTGGTATATGGGGCTGGTGGCCTGCCCATTGAGCCACAGGTGCCACCTTCAGTTTCAACCTTTATGAGCTGTGTAAACTCAGCAAAATGCTGAATCTAAGCACATATATTATTTATTAAAATAATCATAAATCTTGCTGTATGCTGTATACTTTAGTTTTACATAAATCATTTCATTTAATTCTCACTTTGCTGAATATGAGCTCAATGACATTTGATTTTGGATGTCAAACAAAGATTTTTTTTGTATGTGTGTATTGTATTCTAATTGTTAAAACTTGTGAAGATGTCTAAATATTCTTGAAATCCTAAGCAAGAACAGTGCCTTTAACACTGTGACATCCTCTCCTGTACGAAGAGGTACTTGAGACATTACAGGCTTCTATCAATTCCATTAACTCCTTTTCCTAAGTTGGAGTAAATCAATAGTTGCAGAGAAAGCTCTGATAATCCACTTTAATTCTTCCCCTTTGTGAGGTGGAGAGTGAGATCCTTTTCTTTAAAAACAACATAAAATTATAGAGATAAACATACCTCTTCATTACCCATTATTATTATTACTGCTACTATTAAAAGTTGAAATACCTTAGTCTTGGCAGCTGTATCACAGTAGTTACTGTGCCAGCCACATGCACTGAGGCTGGTGGGTTCAAGCCCGGACTGGGCCAGCTAAACAACAATGACAACTGCAAGAAGAAAATAGCTGGGCATTGTGGTGATGGCCTGTAGTCCTAGTTACTTGGGAGGCTGAGGCAAGAGAATTATTTAAGCCCGAGAGTTAGAGTTTGCTGTGAGCTGTGATGCCACAGCACTCTACTGAGGGTGACATAGTGAGACTCTGTGTCAACAAACAAAAAAAGTTGGAATACCTTAGAAACATATGTTAAAATGAAACCATGAAAAAAGATTGATGTGCTGCTGAAAACAGTTTTCATATGTAATCTACATAAAATCATCAATTTTCTTCTTCTTCCTTTTCCTCTCTCCCACTTCCTGTTCCTCTTCCTCCTCTCTCTTCACTTTGCCTTTTTTATGAGGCAGTATCTTGCTCTGTCACCCAGGCTGGAGTGTGGGGATGTGATCATAGCTCACTGCAATATTGAACTCCTGGGCTCAGTGATCCTCCCACCTCAGCCTCCTGAGTAGCTGAGGTTTGGGGCATGCACCACCACAACTGGCTATTTGGTCTCACTATGTTACCCACATTGGCAATGAAGAAGCTAAGGAAATTTTACCCCAAAATATTACTCCTTGGTATCTTGATTTTGAGTTAAATGCCATTCATAATCAAAAGGCATTGCACAAGGCCTTTCCTCTACTTACCTAAAATCTGAAGGGGCTGCTGACTTCCTTATCACTTTACACATTCTCCCCCCACCTTCCAAAGCCATCTATAAAGGTCTCTGACCCTCACTGGGACAAGACCCTCATTCTTCTGGTAAGACCCTATGTGCATAGTATTTGGAAATAAATCTTCCTTTTATTAGTCTACCATAACTCGGAGTTGATCTTTCAGCAAAGTGGACCAAAGGGAAAAGGGCAGGTTTTGCCATGATCCCTACAGTTGATGTAGTAGACAGGATCTCAAAGCCACTCTGCTCTCCCTAAAGCCACAGCAGGAGGATTGGAACCCTGATACCAGCTGGCACATGGTGAGATATTTCCCTTATCAGTCAGGTTCCTTGTTTTCCTCTCTGGGGCATCCAGTTGAGCAGACGGTAAAAAATCATTGTCCTTTCCATATTTAAGATTAATGAGAGAAATGTTTTTGTTGGTGACAAGTCTTGTAAGTGACTTTGGTATTGGTATATTTTTAGGTACTTTGTGGTATATGAATATTCATGTTGTTTGATTCCATCTCCTCTCAGAAATAGCTTTTATTGTTATTGTTGTTATTGCTCATTCTTGTTTTGTCACCTGTCTCTCTGTGTCATTTTGTTTAAAGAGGGTTACCATAGGGTGGAACTTGGGCCTAGCTTCCCACCAGCCTGACATTCACCAGCCCTGCATACCAGCCAGTTACATGGTTCTGGCTAGTGCAGTGTCTTTTAAGACAAACTTTTTGTGGGTCCCTGAAACAAAAACTGTATGAGGTTTCCCCCTATTCCTGTTTTATGTCTCTGAGCTTCACTTTGTGACTGAGTGAGAATTCTCTCCTCAGTTTCCACCATTTGTAGGGCATAATTTGAAGGGAACTTGTGGGATGACTTATCTAGAAAGACTAGGAGTCCGGGGCACATAAGATTCTAAGCAGCACACTGTGTGTTCTGAACATGTCAAGCTCTGAGGAGTGAGTCTTTTGCCATTGTCTATTCTAACATAAGTCTCTTTATAAGAGTGAATTTTTGGGAATCTTGGAAATGGGCTTTTCTATGAAGAGGCCTGGGGCCTTATAAAAAGGCATCAAATTGAATCACTTTTGGAACAAACATACCATTATGATTACTAGCCAAAGATGGATCCTTTAAATTTAAGAAAAAAAACTTCTAGATTTTCTTAAAACTTTCAGAGATCTCTTATTTGAAATAATTATGTTATATTAACACAGAAATTAGATTAAAAGAAAAACACATAATGTTATGACTAGCCCTAAAAATTCTGACAAAATTAAAGAACAAATATCTGATTTAAAACAAACAAGCAAAGAAAAATCTTTCGAAGACTGCCCTCTAAGAATAATGATGGGCAAGTTTATTTTATAGTCTAATAATTAAAATCCTATATATTCATCTTGGCTTCCCTAAGTTTGATTCCTGAGCAGAGAATGAACCTGTTCTAGCTTAATATTTATAACTTGTACTGTTCACTAGTTATAAGAAATCCCCTTGGATGTCATAATTCAAAGTTCTTTTTTTTGGTAGAGTGCCATGGTGTCACATAGCTCACAGCAACCTTCAACTCCTGAGCTTAGGCAATTCTCTTGCCTCAGCCTCCAGAGTAGCTGGGACTACAGGTGCCTGCCACAATGCCAGGCTATTTTTTTGTTGCAATTTGGCCAGTGCCAGGTTTAAACCCACCACCCTCAGTATATGGGGCCAGCACCCTACCCACTGAGCCACAGGAACCACACAATTCAAAGTTCTTTTCAATACTCAGAATTCTTTACCCAGCATTTGGAATTTACGAAATTGCAAGAGGAGTCATGAATATCTCTATGGTGATAGAACACGAACTCAACATCACCATGCAGGCATTGGGAACACTTCAAACAGAGGTTAACAGCCTAGCATCGGTTGTAATTCAAAATCACTGTATCCTGGATGCTTTGACAGCTTAACAAGGAGGAGCTTGTGCTGTTATTGGGGTAAAATGTTGTTTTTACATAAATCAATCAGGGCAAATAGAGACTGATCTACATCTCCTAGAGGACAAGATAAATAAATATTCTCCATCAAATTAATGAAGCAAAACCATTCTATTGCCCTGGCCTGGTTTAATGGGGTGTGGAAAGGAGACTGGTTTAATGGGGTGTGGAAAAATGTGCTTAGATCTATTTTTTTCTGCTTATTCATTCTCATCCTAATTTATATTCTTATATCTCTTTTCAAGCATCTTATTTTTATTTTTTATTTTTTTGAGACAGAGCCTCAAGCTGTCCTCCTGGGTAGAGTACTGTGGCATCACAGCTCATAGCAACCTCCAACTCCTGGGTTCAAGCGAGTCTCCTGCCTCAGCCTCCCAAGTAGCTGGGACCACAGGTGCCCACCACAATGCCCGGCTATTTTTTGGTTGTAGCCGTCATTGTTTGGTAGCCTGGGCTGGATTCGAACCCGCCACCTTAGGTGTATGTGGCTGGCACCTTAGCTGCTTGAGCTACAGGTGGCAAGCCATCTTTTCAAGCATCTTATTACTAAATTACTAACCTGCTCTCTCTCCACAGTTACCAATTCAGCTCTTAATGTGTAAAAATTCTAGCAAAGTTCCAGACAAGGGGAATGAAGGAGCTAAGGAAATTTTGTCTCAAAATATGACTCCTATACTCTGGTTTCTCTTCAGATCATATAAATCTTTCATTTTTTACCAAAATATGACTCCTTGGTATCAAGATTATTTTAAGTTAAAGAAAATTCATAATTCAGAGACATTAAATGAAGATTTTCTACCTAAAATCTGAAGGGGACTGCTGGCTTCCTCATCACATGCTAATAGACCTGGCTCCAAGGTCATTTGAAGCACAATACCCATCTCTCTGGTTAATTTACAAATCAGTCTGTTTCGTACCATCTACATATTTCTCCTAACAACCACTTACTGACCTATACTTTCCACATTCTCCCCCTCTCCCTTTCAAAAGCCATTTATAAAGGTCTCTGACCCTCACTGGGACTTTGGGTAATCATTCTTATGATTCCCCCCACGGTATTTTGAAATAAACCTTTCTCTTATTAATCTATCATAATTGTGAG